CTGATGAGGCTGGAAAATAGTCACACTTGGGCCATTCACTCGTATCTGCATCAGTCCTAGATCACACGTGGGCAAACACATTCTAGGATCCCCTCTGCAGGTAAACTGTGAAATCCCAATCTGGCCCCATGGTATCTGAATGCCTGAACATTTCAGTACAGGAAGTTAGCTAGGTATAACACTCTCTCAAAATTCAATAAAAAAAATTATAGACAACAATAAAGCTACATTTAGCTTTTCTTGAAAAGTGTTATGAACTGTAATAACTACAAACATTTAGAAGTTCTAGCATTATTACGTACCATATGATGGAGAATTTTTTTTAAAAAAAGATCCAGTCTGTGAGGATTTCAGACTGCCATTGCAAAGGAATTCAATTTGTGATGTTTCCAGAGTAAAGCTGCTAAGCAATTTAACAAGTTCTCTTTTTTCCCCCTATTTTCAGGGGAAATTTTTCCTTCCAGCTCTGTTGGAGAAGATAAGAGAATTTATTATGCTGTCTCTGATGAAAAATTCAGTTTAGGCTGAGCTCTTGGTGAAACCTGACAGTGATATATGAAAATGAGTGCCAGTGAGAATCAATTTCTTATTCTAAATCTCTACTATTTCTCTGTACAACACACTACTATGCAAAGGTAGCTAATAAAGGGCTTTATCCTACAGCTCTTACCCATATGACTTAGACTGTAGGATTGGATCCAAACATACCATGCTTACCTCTCCGTTCCTTGGTCTCTATCATAGGCTGAGAAGAAAACAAAAAAAGATTTGCGAATACCATCACCAATTGCAGGACAGAAATCAACTGCATTTAAATAGCAGGCCAAACTGTGTAATATCTGCCATACTTTATCAACAAAACATCTTCCATTGCAAAACCTGTAGTGAAGAACAATACTTGATAAAGGGCAGAGTAGTCAACCTTCTTGATGTTATCACAAGCCTCACAATTTTTGGTGGTCTTTTTTGAGACAGATTAGTTATCTCCTGTTGTCTTCAGCTTCTTTGTGAATATCTACCCTTACTCAAAATGGCCTCAATAGCCCATTACTTTAAGCAGGAATGAAGTCAGATTGCCTTCAATCAAGATGGCTGCCATTTTTTCCAGTAGCTTTTCATGTGATGCTGCCTCTAGTAAAGATGGCTGCCACCCCAGGCTCTATTGTTAGAGAACTGGATAGGAAACTGAAGGGAGAAGGGAATGCAAAAGTGCAGAAAGGAGGCTAAGGGCTGGTCTACACAGGGAAATTGACCTGCATAGTTATAGCAGACTAGTGTAATTAATCCACTCTATTTATACTGGTCAATTTCACCACATAGACAAGCCCTAAGAGGGTCATGTTGCAGAATGTGGACTGGGGCAGAGAAGGAGACTAACACAGCCAGGGGAATGGGTGATGGCCATAAGGAAGATCAAGGGATCTTGGGAGTAGGGAATGGAGAGACAGAATGTACGAGAAGGAGGTTCTTGAAGTAAAGGGAGCAAAAATATGGGAAGCAGGAGTTGGACTGGAAGAACATGGAAGGAGAACATGAGTGGGCAGGGAGTGAAATGGAAGAGATGGGGGGGGAGGGGAAAATGATAGCTCCTCCTCTCCAGCATTTGGACACAATAAATGGAACCTCTTTCTGAGCAGAAATGGAGGAACACACACAAATTAGAGTTGGGCTTAAGTTCTCAAAAATCAGACAGACCACCAAAATATTGTGCTGTTTATTATTGGTTTAGAAATAATCATATTTAGAGCTTGCCTACACCACAGAACTTGCACACTGCAGGGGTGTGGTCTCACAGTAGAGAACTTTTAAACAGCAGGCCAAACTATTCGCTCCAGCAGGGTCTACACAGGCCAATTACCAACTGTTGACCAGTTCTTTTCCCCACTACCCAGAACGCACCGGTTCACAGACAGACTCTTGAGCTGAAGAAGTGTGTCATTTATTTGCTGCTTCAGTGAGTGGTCAGTCCACCAAAAAAGGGCACAGCATAGGGCACAGCATTCAGGTGTTCGCCTTAAATACATTGTTACAAAGCTATTTGTTATTCTTTCCTGCCTAACACTAAGATTAGTTTGCTAAACTCAGCTGTTTAACTGATTGTTTACCAAGTTGTTTACCTGATCAGGTTGCCGATCAACCTTTTTACCTGGCTGTTCTCTTTCCTTGACAGATAAGCATGTAGTAGTAGGATTTTAGGTTTGTATTTTGTATAATTTAAAATAAAATAAAAAATAATAAAGTAGCATGTATTAAATCTTTTGGTAAATAATTTGACCATATCTGCCAGCCACCCTTTCTGAAAGCAGAAAGGAATGGCCTAATGGGCCATTGGTAAAGACGCATCAGCCAGAATCTGTATCTGAGCTAATTTCAAGGCAGTAACAGACCTTTTAGGGTCACCGCTTCGTTGTAGGTTTAGTATTTTAAAAATAAGTTAAAAAAATGCAATAATTGTTTTCTCTTGCATTGCAATTTGATGTTCCTGTTCAAATGCTCTCTGTAAATCAATTCTGTGTTGTGTATAAATAAAAAATGTGTGCATTAAAAAAAATAAGTGAAAAGCCATCACCAGACCAAATGTTCTAAGAAGGAACCGAGAACGGTCGTAAGAGCACCAGGAAATTGCAACACGCCCTACTGAGATGTCAGAGAAGGGCAAATTAACAACTGTAAAAATAAAACATGCACTTATCAATAAAAACAAAATAGCTGTAATCAAAACCAGCATGGGGTAACTCCCTAAAAACAATAAAAAATAAAAATAAAATTAAAAAAACAAGCACTTGTCAAGACAACTATTAATTACAGCATAGGAGTGCAAAACTCAATGGTCCCAATAAAAAAAAAAAAAATCACTATATAAACAGGGTGCCTTGCCACAAAACTTTGGATTTGTCCTGCCAAAACGTCCCCGAAGCACCATGTCACGACCAACAAAACCCGGTTCCTACCTACCCGTGATCAACCTAGCTGGCCACTAGAATGATCTGGACTCTATACTGGTAACTATAACATCGACTGGCGGGACAACGTGTGTGTGTGTATGTATATAATTAAATGCATATGCTAATTATTGGATCTTCAATAAATGCAGCGTATTGCCTTTTCCCCTACAAAAAAAAAATCCCATGTGCTTCTTATAAGCATAACAAGTAGGCATCTTTTCACATGTCCCAACACCTAAAACATACATTCTACATATCACATCCTATTACACCAACACATTGGTGCACTCTAGAAATCAGTCTGCATTGCTGTGTCAGGTAGACAAGCTTCCCTTCCCCTTCCCACCCCCACCCAAAAACAATTTCATGATCTGGGGAGAGTTTGATTGATTTTTTTAATACTTGGATTTAACAACAGAGAAAGGAATAGGTTACTTTTAACTTAAAGACCTGCACAAAGGATAAAAAGAAAAGGAGTACTTGTGGCACCTTAGAGACTAATATTTGTTAGTCTCTAAGATGCCACAAGTACTCCTTTTCTTTTTGCGGATACAGACTAACACGGCTGCTACTCTGAAACAAAGGGTAAAGTTTCCAGGAGTGCCCCATGCCGTTTCCAAAGGCAACACAGGCACTTTGGAAGCTGCTAACCTTCAATGACATTTAGGTTCCTAGTACTTAAGGTACTTTTGAAAATGGGACCTAGATGCTTTTGAAAGTTTTAACCTAAATCACAGTATATTTCTAAACAGAATAACGAACTATCCTCTAATACCCAGTTACACAAACTCTGATACTTGCAGTATATTTATGACACACAACTATTTTAAGAGTTTAAATTCTGAAATAAGACCATATGCCGCAGTTCAAGTAGAACTTCCACTGATTTCTTGTCCTTAGTTCAAATGCTTCTCTCTTTCCATTTTTGGTTATATTAAAAATAATTTACCAGTTTCAAAAGATGTTTTCTCCTAGTTCAAATGCAATAAGTAAATACATTTAAAACTGAATGGGAAAATTGCATGTGTTCAAAATTTACTTATGCCTTGAGATTTATCAAATTTGTGTTTGCTTTAGTTTAATGTTAATAACATAGCTACAGAGGTTTCTTTTGTTCAGAACACACTGATTTTGCTGAATTCACAGGAAAAAAAACAGATGCATAAAACTGCGGAGCAACTATTCTGAGGTATTGTCTAAACGCAAATGAAAGTAATACACACAACCAAAAACTAATCTTGGTTCACTAATATGGAATTTAAAAAAAACAAAAACAAAAACACCCCACCCACCCCTTCCCTCCCAACCAAGTCTCAACAATTTCCCTCTTATATTAACAAAAACCCCACTGAAGAGAACCAAGGGAAAACCCCCAAACCCTCACACAAAAGCAAAGGGGGCAAAAGCAGAAATACAGGTCTGCGTTTCTCCCCTGTAACATGCTATGCAATAACGCCCCCGGGCATACAAGAAAGCTGCAATGGCCATTTAACAGGCAAGAGCATCCCCCATTGAGTCCCACTGAGCCGCTCAGCATTGGCAAGCTTCAGCCTTTGCGGGCTGTTCCGAGGGTAATTCTCTCGCTCAGCCTCCCCCACCCCCGCACAGGGGGTAACAATAACGGGCCAGCTGCGCAGGCTGGAAGACGGCAGCGAGACCAGGCTTCCCACGTTACCTTGCCGCGCCTCGTTCCCCGCGCGGACCCGGGCTCTGCCGCCTGCCTTTGCCCCGCCCGCTGCCCGGCGCCGGGCGGCAGCAGCAGCCCCGGCGCGCGCCCCAGGCCCGCTCTCGCCCCCGGCGCACGGTTCGCGCCTCTCCGCTGTGCCGGGCTGGCAAGGACTCCGCGGGCGGCAGCGGCAAGCCCAGCCCCGGGGGAAGGAACCCGCGCGGCGAGGAGCGCCCCTCGCCCGAGCCTGCCCGCCCCGCACGCCGCCTGGGCGATCACTGGGGGGGGCGGCACCGCGACTCAGCGCTCCTGGGGGAGCCGGGAGCGGGCGCTTCCCGCAGCCGCGGCGGAGAGTGGCCACCCGCAGGCGCCGCGCTGGTTTCACTGACCGCGACGGGCAGCAGCGGGGCCCAGCAAGCGCACGCCCGCGGCACGTGACCGTCCCCCGCGGCCCCGGGCTGGGCGGGAAGGGAAGGGAAAGCCCCGCTGGGTGCCAGCCCGCGCCCCGACACTGCGCGCTCCAAAACGTCGCCGGTTGGCGCCCTTGCTGACCGGCTCCGCGGAGGGGCGGCCCCGCTTTGGACAGCTGAAGTAACCGGTCAGCTCCCCAGGGCGGGGGCGAGGCGCATTGGCAGCATAGCGGGGGAGCTGGGAAGACGCTTGGGCGCTGCACTGGAGGCCGCGCTTACTGCTGCCGATGTGGCTCCTGCTTTGGGGCTAGGTGGCGGGTTTCAGTGGGGTGCTGTCCCCGGGCACGAAATTCACCCAATTGCGTGCTAGGTTACAATAATACCGTGCCGCTTTGCCAACTCGCCACAGCCCCCCCAATACTACTGGTCCGTGCAAAACCGAAGCCAGTGGCTGCTTCCCCCACCCCCCCCTGCTAAACGTTAGACCCGGTAGCTACTAGCACAATGGGACAAGCTCGGGTTAATGGACGTGTCTCTCCACCTGTGCCAGATCCATTATTCTCCTTATCCCTGACCCCAGATCACATAGATGAGGCAATTCATTGATTCAATCAGACCATTATTAGGCATTACATTGCAGCCCATATTTCCCTCCCATCCATTGTTTCTCCTGGTAGGAGTAATTTTTCACCCTAAATTTAGTATAAAAATGTAAAACCCCCATAGGTATCAAGATAACTTATTCTGGTAAGAAAAGAAAATACCTTATTAGACCGGCCTTGGGGCCTCATTAGTACTATCAGCTTCTGCTACTGACCAGTACCAGAGACTCTGCTTCTTTTTAAGACACATTTTTAGCTTAAAACAAAATCTTTATCATTCAGCTTCTCTCTGTGGGAGCTTAACTTATTAGTTGATACCACTTTCCTATGTTTCCTATGCTGTGCATTTTGGGGGATTAATTTAAAGTTAGCCTTTATCCAAATGCATTTGAAATTAAAATCCAAACAAAAGCAAAAGGATAAAAATATCTTAAAGCAAAACAAATACAGGTAGTAGAATTATGACATTTTCTCCAGATCTTTATTTGATACTGGAAATTAGCAAGAATAATTTTCAGCTCTATGCTTTCACCAATAGTGAGTGCTAGCGACTTGGTTGAGATGGCAATAGAAGTGTAGTATACTTATTCCTTTCTGGTGTGTTGATTGAAAGGAGGATACCTGTGACACTCTGTACCCCAAAGCAGCACTCTGGCACCCCCATATTTACCATGATGATATGATTATGATATTTTTTGTACAAAGTATGCCTTCTGAGATGGTATTCTAAAAGGCTTGATCTGTTGAATATTAATATACTGTTGGACTGTATGTTCTGTCATAGTATGTGAAGTTATAAAGTTTTGCTATGTGTATGTTACTGAAATATGTTGTCTGAAGTTGAAACACCCACAATCAGCCTTTCCGGTACAACAATGGGGCAGCTAGACACACTGATGATGGCCCATTAAAGGAAATACACACCCACAAGGACTACCCCAAGAATTGTATGCAATGGAGACCTCTCAGAGAGAGCACATAAACAATGGAGACTGTTTGATTCACATCTAGCAAAAGATCTTTCCTGCGAGGAGGAACCTATAAAGGAGAGGAAGTGACACCATCATTTGTCCCCCCCACAACTAAACACCTAGAAACGTGTGGAGAACAAAGAATGAACTGGGGAGGTGGTCCCAGGTTGGAAAGGAGAATCCCAGCTTGTGTATTAAGGAACTATACCATCAGGGTGAGACACTGCTTGATTTAAATCCTGTCTAAGTTGTAGAACTCAGGATTGCAATTTTACTTTTTATTTCTTAGGTAACCAACTTTGATCTGTATGCTTGCTACTTATAATCATTTAAAATTTATCTTTTCTGTAGTTAATAAATCTGGTTTATATTTTACCTAAAACAGTGTGTTTTGCTTGGGGGATTTGCTCAGTATACAACAGCTGATGCATGTCCACTTTCCTTTGTAGAAGTGGCAGACCGAGGAATAAACTTACACTGGTCAGGATTCTGGCAAGGGGAAGATGGTACAGCTCTGGGGTCCTGACCTGGGTGAATTAGCTGGAGCCTCTCTATTGTTATTTCATGAGTGTCTAGAAGCATTCATGTAACTCAGCTGGATGTGTCCCTGCCTGTGGATGTCTGTGTAAGTGCAGCACCTGGTGAGGTTTGCAGCTTGTCACAGCATCACAGTGTGAGAGGGAGCCTAGGTTGGTCAGACAGAGGGCTCAGCGGTACCCCAGTTCTAGATTACACCCCTGGGGAACCTGTCACAATACTATATAGTCCTCTTGCAGCTGTTGTTGCTCGAGCTCCTGAGTACATTTAGTATCTGTAAATGCACACTCACACTCTCATTCACCAACCCCAGACATGATCTCTTTTTCTACACACCCACCCATCCTAGTCACACTTTCTCTCTCTCTTTCCCTTATCAACACAGGATAGGAGAACTTAAAGAAGCCAGGAGAATTCAGATGTGAAAGGGGGCAAGGTGTTGAAGTTACTCTTCCATTCACTCTAATGGTGTACTGAGGGAGAGTGGATGAAACTCCTTCTACGAATCCAACAGAGCGACTGCTCGCTCACCACCCAGCAGCTGCAGTTTCAGTTACGTTCAGTTCAGTGTTTGGAGAAATAAGGGCTAGAAATCTATTTTAAAATACAAACTTAGATTCTACTCAAGGTCATGGTCATTCTCACTCAGTGAAGTGTCTTAGTCTTGCCTTGATAACAGGTGTTTGGGATTTAGTATAGTTGCCATAAAAACTGCATAGCGACAGCTGTGTCGCTAAAAGTTGGGCGGTGTAGCCGCTGTTTGTCAGCACTATTGCCGACAAAATACTTCCACCCTCAATGAGCGGCATTCGCCTTGTTGACAGGAGAGCGCTCCTGCCGACAGCATGCCATTCAGGCACTTGTCGCGGCAAATTTTTTTGTCCTTCAATTGCCAGTGTAGAGAAAGCCTTAGTCAGATCTTCAGCTAGTTTAAATCAGTTTTGCACCACTGAAGCCAATGATTGCATTGATTTACAACAGCTGAGGATCTGGCCCATTTGTCTTTGCATAACAAACCCTTTGGGGTAAGCCCACACAATTAGAAATGCAATGTTATTGGCAACTGGCATTGCAAGTTTGCTGGTAAACTGCAACCAGCCCTGTAACCCAAGAAATCAGAGTGGCATAGAAAAGATAGTGTCTTTCATGCTAGAGAAGAGACAGGATTAATTAATTCCAGTGCTTAACCACCCTGACAGTTAGGAAATTTTTCGTAACGTCCAACCTAAACCTCTCTTGCTGTAATTTAAGCCCATTGCTTCTTGTCCTATCCTCCGAGGTTAAGAAGAACAATTTTTCTCCCTCCTCCTTGTAACAACCTTTTACGTACTTGAAAACTGTTATCATGTCCCCTGTCAGTCTTCTCCTCTCCAAACTAAACAAATGTAATTTTTTTTCAATCTTTCCTCATAGGCAGAGGTGAAAGTAAGCCAGTACTCCCAGCCGGAGCCCCGGGACCTTTAAATCTTGATTTAAAGGGCCTGGGTATTTTAAGGCCCCGCCTCTTCCAGTTGAGGCCACGCCCACTGCTCAGGACTTCGGAGTACCAGTAAATCCTTTAAGTTACTTTCACCCCTGCTCATAGGTCATGTTTTCTAGACTTTTAATCATTTTTGTTGCTTTCATCTGGACTTTCTCCAATTTGTCCACATCTTTCTTGAAAAGTGGCACCCAGAACTGGACACAATACTTCAGCCGAGGCCTAATCAGTGCGGAGTAGAGCGGAAGAATTACTTCTCATGTCTTGCTTACAGCACTTCTGCTAATACATCGCAGAATGCCGTTTGCTTTTTTTGCAACAGTGTTACCCTGTTGACTCATATTTAGCTTGTGGTCCACTTTGGCCCCCAGATTCCTTTCCACAGTACTCCTTCCTAGGCAGTCATTTCCCATTTTGTATGTGTGCAACATTTAGTTCCTTCCTAAGAGTACTTTGCATTTGTGCTTATTGAATTTCATCCTATTTACTTCAGACTATTTCTCCAGTTTGTCCAGATATTTTTGAATTTTAATCCTATCCTCCAAAGCACTTGCAACCCCTCCCAACTTGGTATAATCTGCAAACTTTATGTGTGTACTCTCTATGCCATTATCTAAATCATTGGTGAAGATATTGAACAAAACTGAGGAGAACCCCACTCGTTATGCCCTTCCAGCATGACTGTAAACCATTGATTACTCTCTGGGAACGGTTTTCCAACCAATTACACACCCACTTTACGGTAGCTCCATCTAGGTTGTATTTCCCTAATTTGTTTATGAGAAGGTCATGCGAGACAGTATCAAAAGCCTTACTAAAGTCAAGATATACCACATCTACCACTTCTCCTGTATCCACAAGGATTGTTACCCTGTCAAAGAAAGCTATCAGTTTGGTTTGACACTATTTGTTCTTGACAAATCCATGCTGACTGTTACTTATCACCTTATTAATATGTGTGCATACCACAGATATACCTGGGGTGTAATAAAGGATCTTATACTGAAAACATCTTTAGTCTCTCTCTCTCTCTCTAAGAAGGAAGCTCTATAGCAAGTCCATATGTGTTTCAAGAGTCTGAGCTACTAGTTGCAGCCCTACAACCTACCCCGACAACAGCTGATGCCATCCCACAACTAACATGCTGCTTCCAGCCCTTGCTGAAGCTGCATCCCTGGTGGTCCCGAAGCAGGATTTTCAAAGCAGATGGAGGAACACCTCTCTCTCCAGCTGGACCTGATGCTTTAGGCATTTTCTGAACACACGTATAGCATTGGGCCCCACTCAAAAGCTAGAGTGTGTGTGCAAGGGACCCTATTTTGAAGCACCATCTCTCCCCAAAATCTATGGTAATATCTGAATGGTTTTGGTTCCACGTGGGAGATCTGGCTGAAGGTGCATCTACTTTCACACTTCACATCTTTAATATCACTTTACATTGCTTTGGTGACCGTTTCATCTATGGCTCATACAGTGAAACTGTTCAGAAATGCTTACTTACTTAAGTAAATGTGACATACTAGTAAACAGGGAGAGAGAACTATTTATAATGGCAACAGCAAAAGACTCTCAGGCTAGATCCACAAGGGGACTTAGGTGCTGCAATGCCTAAGTCCTATGCACATTGCCATCCAGTGGGATTCACAGTCCTGAGATAGGTGCCCAGGCTCACCCAACATTGTATGGGGAGATTTAGGCACTTAAGAATGGGATTCATAGATGCCAGCAAGGTCAGTGAGGAGCCACTTAAGCCAGCCAATAAGAAATGCTGGGGAGGAAGTGGGGGCTTAGGCCTTGCTTCTCAAGGGTAGTTAATCACTTATCTCCATTTAGGATTCACAGATGTAAATCCTAGAGTTAGGCACCTAAAACAGGTCAGCCCTCTCTCATGAAAAACCAGCAAGAGAGACCCTCACCCCATTACAGCCTGGCAGTTAGCGGACTCTGCTGCAATGTGAGAAACCTGTTTGCATATCCCTCCTCTTCCTGATCTGGAGCAAGGACTTGAACGTAGGACTCCTATGAGAGTGCCCTAACCATGGGCTATGGAGTCTCTCTCTCACTTATTCTCTCTCTCTCTCTCTCTCTCTATGGTCCAGTGAATATGTAATTGGTTACATAATTTTGTATAACTTATTACATATTCTTTGGACCAGAGAGAGACCCTAGAGCCCAGTACTTGGGGTGCTCCCCTGGAAGGTGGGGGAGTTAGGGTCTAGCCCTTCTCCAAGAAATAGTTAATGTATTCAAGGTGGAACATCTTCAGCAGGAGAGATGCTGTTA